CCCAGCCCCGCTCCCCGCCCCGTGGTGCTGCCGCTGCGCGCAGGCGCGGGGGGGAGAGGGGATGCGGGAGATGCTCGGGGACGAGCACAGACTCCAGCCCGGGGAGCGCCTGGGCCGGCACATTCATATTGACTCGCCCCTTTAAATCCTGCCAGGCTGAAGCAGCGCGCAGACCCAGCTTCTTGGCAGCGAAGTTTTCCAGAAGATTCCCATCATTGAGAAAAAAGAGGGACAAAAAAAAAAGAAAAAAAAGCAATCTGGCAAAAGAACGAATAAAAATGTACGTGTTGTTCTTTTTCCCAATCAAAAAAAGAACCAAACGAAGACCATCCACAACCCCTTTTGCATACATACTCAAGTTGAAAGCAGAGGAATTCAGCACGTTTTAGTTTACTTGCAGTTTGTCCAAAACCGCAGCCTCAGTTGCAGACTTCTCTAGTTCGGTACCCCAGATGCCTTCCCACCCACTAAGGAGTGACGGCATTTCTTTCTACAGAATTCACTATCACTCTGCCAAGGGAGCCAGTCTTAAGCATAATGTTCCAGGCTCCTTGCCTTTACCAAGCCATTTTAAAGAGCAGCTGGATTAAAGAGGCCAAGCTCCTGTGCCACAAATCATGGAGAGGAGAAAACACAACAAACCAACCAAAAAAATCCCACAAGAATCCTCACTTAGTCTGGACCGACCATATCTGTATATGTCACACACCTTCACACTTCTTAATCTGTTTTTATTCAGGAAGTGAAATTAAAACTTTTAACTATAAATACAAATGCCAAGGTATTACATGAGATATCCAGAGGCTTTATATTTTTTTAATTTCTCACAAATAATTCTTACGAAACTCAACATACATTTGGGAAACAAGTTGAAGTTTTGCATACAATGAAAAACAAGTTACATAGTTATATTGTCAATTTGCCAATTCGCAATTCCTACCCCATACAAACAAAAGCTCGGGAAACAGGGATAATTTATTCAGTAATGGTAGAGCAACTCTGCATTAAGCAAGCTGTCTAAAACCAGGTGTACTTTACCACTCTTTACTCAGTGACATCACAAAGTTTTAAAATATTTTATTTATATACTGTCACCAATAATATATGTATTGCAAAGAGGGCCAAACACTTGCAAAAACGTCAAGTTTTACACAGCATTTGTGTATTATCACCTTTTTTTCCATCCAAACAACAAGGCAGTCATTGTTTTCACACGATCTTTTTAATTTGTCAAAAAACCCAACATAACTCCATCTATATATCATGGAAACTTAAGAGCAAGCTTAACAGCAACTTTAATTTATATGGGGAAAACGAAAACAAACTAGGTGTATCCTTTTTAATTAAGACCTTATGGAGACCTGAAGAAAAATGACCACCAAGAATAGGTTCACTAAATTTATTTAAAAATCCTAAAATGTTTCTTACAAAAAAGCATTACATTCTGCACACTGCTCTCAAGAAACTCCAGGGACATGTGGCCTACCATATTCTCCCCCTTCCAAGTAAGATACAGTGTACATAAAGCAGGGTGTTCACAACAATTACAGAAAAACAGTACAATTTACCACCAACAATGAACAAAAATAGAATTCACTCTCTCTGCCGCTTCAAAATTTCAATGTTAGTCTCGTGCGCCCTTCACCCCCCATGTATTTGTAAGGAACTAAATCATTACATCTGGTGTACAGCAAAGATTCCACTACACCTCAAATGCAGAACACCTATGAAGCAGAGGAATGTTGGCTTTTTAAACAGAAGCAGATAAAAAAAAAAAGGGTGCAGGACTCCTTCAGTTCTTCACTAGTCTTAGAAAAACTTTCCAGAATACTGCTTCACACTATAAAAAAGAAAAAATAATCTTGCATTAGAATCCTTCAACATCTGCATACTGCTTCACACTATAAAAGAAAAAGAAAAAAGCATGTATTAGAATGATGGACCATACATCTTGCATCAACATTCATAAAGCATTTTAAATTACAAATTCCTAACACATTTAAAAGTACGTAATTTTAAAATGTCAGTGGCTAACAATTATATTAGTGTATTTCAGGCATAGTTAAATATTAGTAATCTAAAGCCAAACATTCCAGTTAAGACATTAAAATCTGCTCTAGTAGCCAGAATGTTAATACAGCAAATGCTATCTGTAGCTGTTAATATTTGGCAGAAAAGGCAAAGTACTGTCAGCAAGGTGTGAAATGCTGCATAACAGCCCCAAATCGATTTCAACTTGTCCTGTAGAGGCATGGTCTGTGCCATATGGCAGACTGTGATTTGTTGTCAATTTAGTTATCTAAAAACAACAAAATCACTAGTCTTCCACACAGAACTAGGCCAACATCCACTGAAATCTTCTATACTTTCTACAGGCTCTATGTAATTTATTACAAGTAGTTTTTTTTTGCAGCAGTTTTCACCAGAGAAAGGAGAGGACTGCTTGGTTAAGATGTCTTCCAGCAAGATTAGTTTTGAGGGTGTCTTCATTTTAATTAGAATGGAGAACAGAAGAGAATCAAGGCAGAACTACCACTAGAGAAGTTAGGTTCAAATAGTTACTAAAAACCTGCCTTCTTATAAAACTGATGCACAGAAAAGAGCAGTTTTATCATATACATGTTAATTTGACAGTAGGGACAATATGAAACTTTAACTTGCCTGTTTTGCAGCAAATACTGTGCATTTTGTATCTGGTCCTGTGTTCCCGTAATAGTGATTATCCGATCTTCCGAGCCTTCTAGTGGTTCATCAATTTTGATCGAAGCTCCTGACTCATGACGTATTTGTTTGATTCTCTGGCCTCCCTTTCCAATAATAGATCCTGCCAGCTAGCGAAGGAAGCAAAAACATTCATTTTCTGATAAAACAGTCTTTCCAAAAAGTTAGAAAATTACAACAGCATGAGCAGATTTTGTAAATTCAGTTTTAAGTGTTGCAATGGGAGCTTATTTCTTTATATGCTAAAAATACACCCTGCAGTATTATTTGTGTAAACACAGGTGAGATGAAACTGTGAGAACCAGCTCTCATTTGCAAAACAGAAGTTACAAGGACCATCTCTATTACTGAATATTAACCACAAGTAAAATTATTTAATGGGTCTCTGAAGACAGAGACCAAACAGTCAAACAATATACTGTTGGTGATTTAGAAACACTTGTTTTGTATTAGAAGTATTTATCAAGCACTTTAAGAACTTCTGATTTACTTAAACAGTATGAGAAATGACTGTGACTTTTTTTTAAGAGAAAGCATGAGTTGAAAGCAAATCAACTTTACTTACATCTTTGGGAATCGTTACTTGTGTTGTGATGATGGGTCCACCAAGATCTCCATATGAACCACGCCCCCCTGCGTAAGAATAATCTGATTTAAGTGTATGCATCAAGCCCTTTAGTAACTACATAATGAACTACACACAAAGCTTCTATATAAACACTTACCATAACCAGAGCCGCCCTCAAACTGTAAGAGAAAGAAAAAAACATTAACGTGGACAGCCATACTTCATTAACACATTTTTATCTTAAGCATTCTATTGTTAACTTTGAGCCCACTCAATCAAACATCACAACTCTCAACTTTATATAAATACAACGGTGTTGTAACATCAAGGGCACCCTGAGGAAAAGATGGAAGACCAGAAAAAAAGGAGTGGCTTATTAACCTCTGTCTATTCACACCAGGGGCCACCTTGTGCAGGACCACAAGTTGGATGAGATGATTCCTGTAGGTCACATCCAGTTTCAGGTATTCTGGGATTCTTATCCTACCGTATCAATATCTCCAAGAATAACACATGAAATGACAAAGGATTCAGCTGCGCTGGTTTACCAAGGCGATTTCACTATCAGCTTCTTGTAGACAGCTGTTGATGCTGATTTACTTGTGACCTCTGTACTAAACATTAGAATTACAACATCAAGAGTAGAGCCTTATTAATACTACCAATACAGCTCAAGAGAGACTCCAGTCTCCAGTTCTGGAGCAAGAAGTCTACCCCGTCAGTGATCCATGACTACATCTACACTGTTGATTCTGACTATGCTACAACCTTTTACATCTCTGAATAAACAATCACAACATGAGTTACTTCTGTTACATTTAAACCACGATATACCAAATGCAAATCACCGTAATTCTTGGCCCTTTTATTTTTAGGATATGTAAGCTTTCATTTGTTACCAAGTTTTCATTTCATCGTATGCGTTCTAAGTGTGTAAGACCCCATATTTTCCTACATATTTTCCTACAGAAGCAGAGAATAAATACACACGGTTCTCTCAACTTCAACTTCTGAAGAGTCTCTTGGGGTCCATGATAGAGGAGTCTGGAGGCTGCCTAAGGCTGAGACCATCAGCCAAGCTGGTGACATCTCAGTGATAATATTTAAGGAAAGTGTAAAAAATTCCCAATGTACACTGACTGCAAGAGTGAGCAAGGACAAAAAAACTGCTTCACATGCTGGAATGGAGACTGCCCTGCTGCTCATAGAGAGAACCACACTGGAGCAGATTGCTACACCATAGCCCGTTGAGTGATGCTATGCCGAGAGCAGGTAGATATGCCCTGAAAGAAGCTGCACAGGCAGACACCTGTGGCCTTTGAGGGGACCAACAACAAATGAGTCTGTTCTTGAAGGACTGACCCCTCATGAGGGGGACCCCCACTGGAACAGTTTTAAGAACTGTGGTCCACTGGAAACAGATCATTTGAGCAGTTCATGAACAGCTGTGTCATCCCATGGAAGGGACCCTATACTGGAGCAGCGGAACAGTGCAGGGAAGAAGGAGTGGCAAGTATGATGAACTGACTTGGAAGCTGCAAGTCCCTCTCACCCCTGCACCATTCACGGCAAAGTAGAAGTGTAAGGAATGAAGGACTGAAAGTTGAGTATGAAGAAGTGGAAGATGGATAAAGGTGTTTTTATGTTTCTCACTATGATACTCAAAGTGGCAGTAAACCTACCCCAAGCTAAATCTGTTTTGCCTATGATGTTAATTAGCAAGGGATGTGCCTGTCTTCATTATGAGCCATACACTTTTCTGTCTTACTTTCTCCCCTCATTCTGCTAAGGAAGGGGCCTGAGAGCAGCTGAGTGGGCCCCTGGCAGCCAGTCAAGTTCAACCACTCACAATTACTGACCCACAGAAATTACAATGTAACAACTTTTCAAAAAAGATTTCTTACCATCTTTCTTTTTACATCAAAATGGAAGCTATTCAGATTTAAGCGTTGAGCTTATCCTCCATCTCTAAGCAACGTGTATTGTCTAATCACATTATTAAGCAATAAGACAAACATAATAGAGCTCACAGTGGAGTCCAAAATACAAGACAATGAAGGACTCTGCTTAAGATTTAACTGAAAAGCTGATCACATAACATACTGCACAGAATGACATATTGCTGTTGGTGTTTGCCATAGGATTCCTTTCTGGACTGATTTCTTATAAAGAAAAAAACTTTCCTTAATCACGTCTTCCTCTCCACACTACAAAAGTATAGAATTTGACAGCAGCTGCTGTGTATATAAGCCAAGAACTGACTTTTCATGTGAATTAATCAAAAGTATTAATTTGGTAGCATTGTGCCATCTTCAAGACATTGCCAACACTTAATGCTACTCTGTAATTTCTAAAATGGAGTGACTACATCAGTGAATAAGAGAAGGGCTACAGGTACCATATACCTGGACTTCTGTAAAGGCTTTGACATAGTCTCCACATTCTTCCCTCCAAACTGGAGAGGGATGGATTCCATAGGTAGAGTGTTTGTTGAATAGGAATAGTTGCATCTAGAGCGCAGTGTCAATGACTCAGAGTTTCAATGGATATAAAGAAATGTCCCTCAGGGTCTGGCCTTCATTGGCTCCAGTGCTATTCAATGTCTTCATCAATGACACAAACTGATTACGTGCAGCTGCAGCAAATTTGCAAGCTGAATGGTGCTGTTGACCGACCGGAAGTGTAACTCTTTCTAAAGAATTCTTTTTAGTTTCTTTTTTCTCTCTCTTGATTCTGCTGCACTTCTTTTGTACTTTTTTTTTCACTCCTAGATTTCTCAGTCTCCTCTGTGCTGAGCTCCTTGGGGATATTCCCTCACAGGGAGTCCCACTTACCACAGTCCTCCAGGTCAGGGCAAAAACTCCAAAGCCTGTTAGGATCTTGCTTCTTTTAGCAAGATTCTTGTGTTTATTAGGACACACTCTGTGTCTCAGACTCCATGAAGGACTGGACACCATCCAGAAGAACCTGGACAAGCTCAGGATGTGAGCCCATGGGAAACTTCACTCAATTTTAACCAAGACCAAGGTGCCACACCTGAGCTGCAACCCCCAGTATCAACACCAGCTGGGGGATGAGTAGATAGAGAGCAGCCATGCCATGAATATTGCCAATCACCCACCACCGTGCTGGTGGGGTGAGAGGTAGGACATGACCAAGCAATGAACACTGGAATCCCAGAGTGGCAACCATGTCCCATTGGAAAGTCAAGGGCGGTGATTCTCCCTGTTTAGTCTACTCCTTTGAGACCCCAACATGAGTACTGCATCCAGCTCTGGGGCCCCCAACATTAAGGGCATGGACCTACTGGATTAAGTCTGGAGAAGGACCATGAAGATCATCAAAAGGATGCAGCACATCTCCTTTACGTAAGAAAGCTAGAGAGCTGGGATTGTTCAGCTTGGAGAAGGCTCCAAAATGACCATAATGTGGCCTTCCAGAGCCAGAAGGCAGCTTACAAGAAGGCTGGGGAGGAGTTTTCACACAGGCATGGAGAGGAAGGACAAGGGGCAACAGCTTTAAATTGAAAGAGGGTTGGTTTACTTTAGCTATTAGATTAGAAAGAAATTCTTCACTGTGAGAGTGGTGAGGCAAAGGAACAGGTTGCCCAGAAAAGCTGCGGATGCCCAATTACTCGAAGCGTGCAAAGCCAGGTTCAATGGAACTCTGAGTATCCTGGTCTAGTTCAAGGTTCTCTACCCATGGCAGGTAAGTATGATCTTTAAGGTTACTTCCAACTAAAACCATTCTATGATTCCGTAATAACATCCCAAAACCTATCTGATCAAATAATGTATTTTCAAATAGATTGATAGTTAAAGATAGCTTATTCACAAATGAAAGTGAGAAGCTGGTTGAAAAAAAATCCCACTACATTAGGAAAGTAACACAAAATATAAATTGTAAATGCATGCATCTACAGTGCATCAGTTATGAAGAAAGAAAACATTTAACAAAATGAAAATAGTCATTTTCATGACTTTTCATTTCCATGAAAAGAGGCAGAAGAGCTACAGAAAAGCTCTTCCATTTTTACCAAGCTGCTGCATAGTTCCACCTTTCTACTAACATTACTTGCCTTTAAGGGACATGCCATTAAGTCTGCCACTAAATTTGGAGTCAGAAGAATGTCTGTATAAATTTTAATAGGTTCAAGTTGCCATGTACTGCACTCAAGATCTTTTAAAAAATTTGCTTTATCACTTGAACTCATTCAATACAGCAGTTTTCAAAAGACAGGCTGAAAATACTCACCAGCTCTGGTGGCTGCATATCATCACAGGCATCCACATGACACTGCATCATCTTCCAGACACAACGTAAGAGAAAGAAAGGAAGTCCAGGTCATACAGACTTTTAGAGAATGTCACAACCAAACAGAATGCACAGTGGTACAAAGAAACTTTCATACTATTAACAAAGATTTAAAATTATGTGATTTAGATCACTTTCAAGACTCACTGGCATTTAATATTACTTTGGGGCAACTCTTAATGGGAAACTCATGTTCTCTTTCTCCTTTTGTGGTATTAGCATGTGGAATTTTCCCTTTAAGAAGCTCAGAAACTAATGGCAAGGCAAAACATAAACAAACCTTTTTTCTTTTAGAAAACCTTTATACATTTTTACATGTAAAAATACTTTTATTTCTGCCATCTGCTAGAAAAAGACAGTTCAGTAAGACTGAAACAAGTAATGGCACACCAACTGCAGTTGAACAGGAAGGACACTGCTTCTTATGTTCTACTGTTCACATACCTCATCTAGGCCAGTAAGCAGACTAACAATCTACTGCTGCCTAATGATATTAGAAACTTAATCATGTTTCTAAAACATACGATATCTGGCATTTCTTCCTTTCAGAATTTTGCAATTTCAGCAATGGATGTTTATTTGTGCAAAATAAGTTTTTTAAACAGGATGCCTTAGCATACATAGTATTTTCTATGCTGCAAACTAGTTTGTTCTAGTCATTACTCAGAACTGGAACAGAAATCACACAACAGATGGGCTGGATAAGGCAAAGAGCTTAGCTTTTTTATGTCTAATAAAAAATACTGCATGCAGTCCTAACTGATAACAAATTCTTCTGTAATATGTTTTTCTGGTTTGTAAGAGTAACCTGGAAAGTGAAATTTTGTTACTTCCTTCCAGCATCTGCAGGAATAAATACCATAGTTGCCATACATTCTTCCTTACTACTTTTCATACATGCCCCTGAGAATGAGGGCGTTAAAAATATAGAAAACTCAGGACTTTTCAGATCACAACAGTCCTTATGGTCTAGGGGATTTGATCTGGAGTAGTTACATACTGAAATATATACGTCTCTATGCAGATAAACAAGTCTGTACTTTGGAGAAAAAGCCTCAGAACATACTGTAAGTCAAAAGAGCATTTAAACAGCAGTACATATTTCTACTGGAACTTTAAGCCAGGTAATTTAACAGGAAAGTATCATCTTAAGTGATTAACTCTGTAGAGCCAAGAGGAATTTACCCATCTTTTAAAGTCAAAATGGTTTTTTTTTCACTTCAGCATTTACAAGGCTGTCAATATTGTCATATTTCCGGAATTCAGGAAAAAACACAGTTCAACATCCGATCTTAAAGGGTGGCTGTCAACTGTTCAGTCTTTCTGCCTTTAATGAAAAGGAGAACTGGCAAAAAAAATTTTCTTTCTGTACATTCAATTTTTCCAATATTTTTGAGATGCTCATCAATTGTTGCCTTTTATTACACCTATGTAGGGTAGAACCCACGTGAAAAGAGCACTTGTACTCTCTAAGAGCAGCTTTTTCCTTCATTACACATATCACAGTAATATTGGTTTAGTTTAAACTTCTACCTATGCAACAGTTTCTATTTGAAACAAAAGGTAGCACAGGAAGACTTTACCTTTTGGCATGACACTTGAAGCTGTGATGTCACACTCAGTGTGAAGATTTTCTTCCTGCTTGCACAATTTAGGATACTAGGATCATGATGAACTAAAACTAGAAATTAAATACTATCTTTGTTGGGAGGTAGTCCTCACTTTAATCAGATTATAATACTTGGTCACAAAGGAGCCAAAGTCAGGAGCAGCTTTACTATGGAAAGGAAATGAAATTGTTTTTTCTTCCATGAAAAAAAAACAAACTAAAGGAAATTACTCCACTTGCATGTAGAAGCCCATGTCAATAAACTGAAGGTCAACATGACAGGCTAAACCTAAGTCAAAATGGATTTTCTATTCTAGCTGGACTGGAATAAAAATAGAACACATTACTGTGCAAGAGTCAAGCTAAATAAGACTGTGCTCAACCAAATACCCAAAGAAGGGCAAGCTTCTCAGTTTATGTACTCTAGCACAGGCTTTATAAGCTGCAAACAGAAGAAAACAAAACCTAGGGTCTGAAAACATGTAAACACAGATAAGGAATCTTAGAGGTGTACTTCTCCATTCTTCCAGTTTCTTATCATGTAGAGTAGCATGTGAAACTTTTTTTTTCTAGTAACAGCAAATTTTTCCTTTTATTACTTCTAATAAGCACATGACATTCTTGTAATTTATAGTTCCAGTAACTCTTATTCACAGGGAGGACATGTGAAGCCCATTAAGACAGCCCATTTCATAGCTCCTTTTCATTTCTTTTACATCACTTTAGAAGAAAAAAATAACGCATCATCTGTCATCCTAAAGAAAGTACCACACAGAGCCAGAGGAGAAAAGATGGTTACTATAGAGATCCACCTCTGTGGTGCTTTAAGACCAGCCTGCAACTAAGAGCTACACAGCTGCTTGCTCACACCCCGCCCACTTAAAGCCCAGTGAACTGGGATGAGAATTGGAAGTAAAACTTATAGCTTGAGATAAGAACAGTTAAATAACTGAGAGGAAGTTTAAAAACAAAACAAAGAAAGCCAACAAAAAATGAAACAACCACCACCACACCCCAGAACAATAGAAACCAGTAATTAAATCACGGATACATGATACAACTGCTCACCACTTTGCTGACCACGGTCCGGCCCCATCCTCAAACCCTTATGGAACCCCCTACTGGGTAACTCCCCCAGTTTATATACTAGGTATGATGTTCTATGGTGTGGAATATCTCTTTGGCCAGTTCAGGTCACTTGTACTGATTATGATCCCCTCCCAGCTCCCTACTCACTGTCAGGGAATAAAACACTGACTAAGTGCTTGACTGAGGATAAATACTACATAGGAATACCAAAACCATCAGCATGTTATCAACCTTATTCTCACACTGAATTCAAAAGACAGCACTGGAGCAGCTACTAAGAAAGTAACTATCCGAGGACAACCTCATGGATTTTCTACTGAGGAAAGAGTAATCTTGTCTCACAACAGCAGTCTGGCTGTTGGGGCATGGCTACTCAGAATGTAACATACAAGACTATTTATACCCTTTGTTTTAAGCTTCCACACACTATGACATTTCTTTCACCCTCCCAGAAAGAATACATGTAGGATTCAACTAAGCAGTGGTTCTACCTTCACCACCTTTGGAGGTGGTCTACCTCCAAAACATTTAGAATTGAGTGGATTTTCTGCAGAGAAACTACAAAATACAGAAGAATTGATTTCAAGAGTAACCACCTTCCATCACCTAGAGATCTTCTCAGATACTGTGGCATAATTTGTATTACCATTTCAAGGCCTGTGTTTTCCAACTTACAGTGTTAAGAATGCTTGTGTAACTCATCAGAGAACATTGTTCTGACACGCTTTCTCTATCTAAAAAAATCTACCAATTGCTATTTCTGTCACACCGATTATAAAAATCTGAAAGATGGACAGTGCAAGGAAACATACAGGGCTGAGCAGTCAAACTCTATGAATCTTTTTGATCACAGAGAAAAAGGAAGAAAACAAGACTACCATTGACATCTCAAATATTCATCCACAGGAGGACCCCATGTACGTACAAAACATTTTGGTTTCACTGTCAGAACCGTCTATGCCTCACATGAATGTGAGTGTCGTTCAGCAACAGGACGTCAGAACACTAACTATGCTTAGGGACACAACAGAGCAAATTTTAAACTCATACCATGCCATCGTAACGGTCTCCCGGTCTGCCCCTTCGGTCATAGGACATCAGATCTCTAAAATGAAAAAGGCAGCAGCATGTTAATTGTGGAATGTGTGTTATGAGCTAGCTGGTTTATTCTAATCCGAATTTTCCCATTCATGGTTCACATGTAACTTAGTATCAAACTACTCTACCCAAGTATTGAATAACTTAAGTTCCTAACAGAAGAACTACTGAATATAATCCTGGCAACTTACTACAACAGAGCAGGTTAATTGAATTGCAGTATATTTCAAAATACTCTTGTCTAATACAGGCTCAATCCTGCATACCTGCTACCAACATGGGAAGCATGGAAAAATCACTGAAAATATGCATATGACTCAGATATACAACATGGGTTTTTGTATAATGCATTTATGCAACAACTCACCCGCCACGAGGAGGTGGTGGAGGAGGAAGAGGAAGGTTACGAGCTCTGCTGCCACCTCTACCACCACGACCTGGTGGAGGTGGTGGAGGTCCTCTGCGAGGGCTCATGTCATCATAATCTCTTCTCGAGGGAGGCATAGGTCGTCCACCACGGGGCATTCGATCAAAACCTCCTCTTCCACGCATTGGAAAGCCCACTGGCCGTCCCCTTCTATCATCAAACATCATTGTGAAGCCACCATAGTCATATGTTTCATCATAGAAATTGGGATCATAAGGCTGGGCCCGTCCTTTAATTGGAGACTAATACAAACAGACAAAAAAATTCCCCAAATCAGATAGTTCTATTACAACTGGCATACTTAATTAAACTAGCACATTTATGCATTTGGGACATGTTCTTGATTTCACAATGCTGCCAATAAAGGAGATGATGTGCTTCCTATGAACTTAACTATGACACTAAAACTACTTAGATGTGGCAGAGACATTTTGTTTTCCTTCCTCTTCGAATTTTCCATTCTGATGACATGCAAAGCATAAGTGGCCCTCTAGTACCAAAAATTGCTTTCCTCCCTCATAAGGTGTACCCCAATTCTACACAATAGAAACAGTTCCCAAAGTTCGTAACTGTCTGTCACTTCCCTGTTAGGAAAGTAGAAGGTACTGAATTTAAACTAGAAACTGAAAAACACCATCTTTCATCCAGTTAATGTCTAAAACATTCATGAATGCCAATGAAAGAATAAAATAAATTTAATAAACATTACCTCAGAGATAAGATCCAAAATAATCTTGATGCACTCTACAACTCTATCCGGTTTTCCACCAATAAGCACCACTCTGTCAGTTGAATGAGGACAACACTCCTGGAAGAGCTTAATGGTGGTCTGAGTGTTCTGTAGAAGAAAAAATAATCCAAGATTATTAAATATATTTTGAACAACTTTATAAGACCACTGTCTTTTCAATCTATTTTAAAAACATTTTAAGTTCCCACCCACTTAAATCTGCATGCTTGCTTCTGAGTTATCACACAGTATTAGAAGATTACATATTTTAAAGATCTTGCTGCTCTAAATTTTGTAGGAAGATGAAAAAAAATTCAATTTTCTCTTATTTCAGTTATGACTCATCTATGATGCTTCATTTAATTAAGTATTAGAAAAAGGATCACATAAACATTGTGAGCTTACAGGCTGTATTAGCTTTCAAATCAACATTCTTTGGATGCTAAGACAGCAATGTTGCTAGGATTATGTTTAGTTATCTTGCCTTTCTTAATCCATACAAACAAGTACTGGCTTATACCTGAACTGACCTGAAACGGCATTTAACACAACACCAACCAACTCAACCATGTGTTTTCAGTTCATTGAGACTTTTAAGTTTTTTAAATCTTACTCTTTCACTTAAAAAAAAAACAAACAGAAAGTGTCTTCCAGGGGCTGGGATTAAAAAATACAAAACCAAACATGAAGCACTTTCACAATACATCTACTGTGGAGATGCTTTCATTCTAGACTGTTTTGTGTGTCCAACCACACAAACAGTTCTACACTATGCAACAGCTTGTTTTAAAAGGAGAAATTAACACAATTTTAATAAAACGAAGTAAAAATCCTTTCTTTAAAAACAGTACCACAAATAATGTTTAACCAAGTCATGGCTCTGCCACCAACATTACTCCTCAGGGTCTGCAAGAAAGTTGCAACTCCCAGCTTCATCTCACAATATCAAAAGTCTGTATGCAGCATGTTCAGAAGGAATTACTGAACAGCACATAGGTACATATGCCCCTTATGATCAGAAAACATTGCTTTTTGAAAAAAATAAAATCTCAGAAAAACAGAAAGCAAGTACCTCTCTGAGTTCTTTAATTTTAGCACCCTTGACACCAATAATGCCTCCTGCCAAACTCTGGTGAATAAGAAGTCGAAGTTCGCAGTCGAAGTCGCTGCCTTTGTAGTGTTGATACTGCAAATAAGATGCATATAGGGAGAAGCAATAAAGATTAATCACAAAAATTCAAAGTATTTGGGGTTTTAAACTTTTTCTTCAAACACAATGGGACAACTTAATTTATTGCTGAATTGTAATCTGATATTTCTTTTGATACAACCACAACAATTTAAACACCTCACCATGAAGAATCAGTTTTCCCTATTTTTTTACATTACTTATTAAATGACACCGTGCCACTTCCTATAAACATTTAAGAAGTTATCAAAAAGTACAACTTATTATTTGGAAAACAGAAAGGCTGTTCAAAACATTAATTTAATAAATAATGACAGCCTCTACCCTCTATACAAAAGATGCCAATATGTAATCTTTCTTTAAAAGCCTTTTGGCATTTTTTACTTTTCTAATTTCCTGTATTTAAAAAGTAGCAAATACTCTAGAACCATCTCATTCAAAAGCTAACCTTTTCATTTTAAACAAAGGAAAATTTCAAGATAAATACCTCTTCTAAAGTAGGGATAATCTTCTTCAATATTTCTCCAATTGTCTCTATATCTGCACTTATACTCAAGATGCTGTTGGAAACCACGATGACAGACGATATGGAGAAGGTAGAAAAGAGAAAGCAGAAGTAAATGCTTTTTATCATTACACACAAAATTTTAACAAGATTTACTACAAAGAAGAGTTCTCAAATATTCCCCATTTAAAGTAAACCTGTTTGCTCAATTTACAACACATGCATCTTTGTTTATGCCCAGTATATATGCATGAGAAATTTAAGATTAGGCAGGTCTTGCAGAGAGAGAAAGACAGAATAGGCTTTTGGAAGGGCTCAAATTAAGTGGGCAAGAAATTGACGCAGAACTGAAAAGTAGAAGTGAATTTTCATGTTCCCCGCCACCACTAATTAGGATACCCTCACTATTACATTCGTAGAACTGGCACACCTTCTCATATTAAAAGTGAGGATATGCAAGTGGTGAACGTTGTATCTGGAATAAGGTTATGGAACTCAGATTACTAATGGGCTCTCCAAGAAAACAAATACAAATGCAAGACAAAAAAAAGACAAAACAAATGAGAAGTGAAGGAAAGCGAACCGGAATTAGCATTTCGTAAGAAATAATTATGAACAGGCAATGTTGAGGGGAGCAAGGTGGGCCACAAAGACAGAGCGAAGACTATTTCGAACCAATTTGATTTACAATGCAGCAAATATGCAACACTTGAAGCTGTGCTCCTTCCATTGAAATAAAATTAGTGGATTGTTTGGGTGGGCAACTCACGTAAAAGTTCAGTGACAAAAAGACTTAATGGGGAAAATAAGACAGAAAACTTGAAAAAAAACAATACACCGTCTATAAGGGGATACTATTTAATTATATCAAAGGCAGGTAATAAAATACATTTCTCTCTTTCTATTCAGGCAGTGAGGCATAAACTGTTGGGACATACCGCTCGGGGCCACTGCTGTCTGGGACTGAAACACTGGCATTGTACTGCATTGGTCATTGGCGTTCGTGGATGTTGGCATTGGGCATGGGTATTCAATCGGAAGTTGTCAAGTATGGTACCCGTTTGGCAACGAGCACATTTTTGGGCATAGCCAACCAGGGTTTTCACATGGGCGTTCAGGGGCGGATGGGCCAACGTCATGGTGGGCAACGCAGGGGCAAGTCGATCCAGTACATGGGCAACGGAGATATATGGCCAAAAAAACAAGGAGAGGGAAAAGGGGGAAAAGCAATAAATTTTAATTTAATACAAACTATACTCATTACTCTCAATTAATGAAACAAGCTTAAGTTGTTCTGAAGACTAACACAATAACTGATTGCTACACCGACTGTGGCCTAACAGTATGGACTTTAAAAATGAGTCACTTGATCTGACTAAACTACTTTTTACTTTCAATAAATGATGTTTCAGTAGCAGGCTGGCTCATGAGGGTAGACGCAAAAACTGTCGAGACCTATCGTACTAGAATCTTGGGCATATAGGGAGAGTTCATGTTCCAGATGAATTTAAATTATCTGGACTTAGGTGACATACGGATTTATTCAAAAAAACCAAACAAAAAACCAAAAAAAACCAAACAAAAAAAAAAACCCGACTAAAAAAACCCTAAAAAAGAGGAACAACTAGCTGCCAAAGTTAGTGAGCATATGTATGATTCCTGACCATTCAACTAAAATCTCAACTCCAGTTGCGGTAGTTTATGAACTTAGTCGGAACTGATTTGTGACGATATATTGCCAAATCTTGTGCTGAACAGAGTCTTGATCGGAAAAATCGTTGAAATTGTAGCTGATGTTAAGTACAGGAGTGTAAACAAATGGAATTTAAGAAGCGTTGCCAAGTTTTATAAATACACAACATTAATGCTGAGCATGTGTCTAATCACCAAAGTCAACCCCCTGTAAAATGTGAACAGGAATTTAGACATGATGATTTAAAAATGCTTTCAACTAACAGAATAAAATGTTCCTTTAGAGTTTTATACTCATATTTAAAGCAAGAAACCTTAATATTAATGCTATTGTGCTTCATGTGCAAGCTGTTAAGGAACAGATGGATGATTTTGTTTTGCTTTTTTAAAGGAAGTTAAAGAATTCCTCTATCACTGGGTTAAGCCAGCCACCTGCAAGGGTTTCAGCAGTACTATAATTGATGCACACATACGGGGAATGGTACTATTAAGGGGTTTAAGCTTTGTCAATATTTTTAATTAGGATGGTAACTCACTTCAAGTGTGTAATTTAGCAGAATCCTATTAAAAAGTGAAGAGATTTAACATAAACCTCTCCTCCCATGTGTCAAGCTGGGTTTCAATTGAAATAGAAATTGAAGAACTGTTATCTACTCTGACAATCAATACAAATGGCTCGTAACTTGGATGTCTATAGAGTTGAATTGCTCCAATTTCTAGAAATGCACGCAATCAAGTTTTCGATGTAGTGCTCTGAAAGAAGTGGTGGTAAATTAGTTCAAACTCATATATACTCACGTCTGTACGAAGTGCTTTAATATTTTTGCCACCTTTTCCAATCACTGCTCCTGCATTCTGGAAAATAGGTTTCAGAAGTTACATTATGACAACACAACACAGCCTAAGTTTTTGAACTCAAGACTATAAACAGTAGATCTATTTGGGCTGGCCCAAGAGGTGGGGACAGGCACTACTTTGGAAAGGTTCAAACCAAACTGAAACCAACTGGACATTTGTCCACATAAAAAAAAATTACCAAAAGCTCTTAAAACCACAGAACACAGAGAGAGAGAAAGATAACTCAGCTTTGCCACTAGTACTTAAATTCCAAAGAGAAGTTTCTAGGCAATTTTGCCCATGTTGAACTTCTCATAGACTAGGTCTGTTAAAAAAAAATAACTAAATGAATGTAATGTAGGTCAATTATTTCCTCAATTCTCTGAATTCTCTGATCAGATTTTTTGTCCTTAGAGGGTATGTGTACAAATTCCACTTTTGTGCTCCAAACATTTGATAATTTCAAGTGGTAATATTGCTTTGCACATCTGTAAAGCAACTAATTTCTCAGAGCAATATAAACTGAAAAAGGCCGCAATTAATGTTAACAGCCACTAACTATTCAAGCCACCAGCGTCAACAGGAATAAATTGTCAAACAGTAAAAAACAATAATTGCAAAATTTCATTTTTACCAGATTCTTTGAAGGATTCTATGAAAAGTATTGAGTTTATTACACACATACATTATGCTAACAGCATGCAGAATGTTTCATGGTACTCTATGTAACTTGGCTATTGGTCAGAAATTTCACACAGAGTTAAGGCAACATTATTTTCCACCAGCACAAAAGACTGAGATACTTCAGAAAGCATCTGCAGCAACTGGAAACACCAGAGGAAATTCATATACCACAACTTCAACTATTCACACCTGTCAACAAAACCACTGCAATCCCTGAAGCACTACTCCCACACTTCTTCCTGTTGATATAGTTGAACAAGCTTAGTAGATCTATTTGGGAGAGTTACTAAAATCCTAAATTCTCATCTCACATATTTAATCTAAAATAACAAATTTATAATCCTCTAAATACCTTCTTTTCCAAAGACTCACATACAGTCCATTCCCCTCAATCAATATAGCTACCTTCCACTCAAATGTAAAAATATCTTAGAATCTTTATTGCTTTACTTCTTAGCAAGTATATCTTTTTAATAAACCCTGTATTGATCCTTAGAGACTTAACCTTTTAAGAGAACCCTGAGGACAATTCCATTGCAATACATCTACAACTACTATTCCTAGATACTGAAAATCACTCTGTTATCTCATTTTAAAAAAAGCACATAATCACTCTACACTTATAACCCAACAGGCACTTTGTCACCACCATCTTGAGCTATGCTATACAAAAAAAACACTTAAAAAAAAAAAAAGCGTACTTTGCTCTGAAGCAAGATGCGCAATTCAACCATCTCATCAGTGTTCCGAGATCTTTTGAAGGCCTGCTCTTCCTCCATATCTTCTGCAGGACGTTTGCCTGTAGAGAGGTCCATAGGGGGGAAACATAAACATTTATTTAACTTTCTAAGTCATAATAAAGTGGAACATGTGCCAAATTTATGCTCTGTAATACTAATACATTCTTTCCTATTAGCACAAAACTAATTACAGACATCTACTCTGAACATCCACAGCACGGAAATGTATCTTCACTTCAACAGCCTTCTGACTGATTAACAACTGAAAACGCATTTAAAAATCTGTGAACTATGGCTTAAATGAGAATGTTGCACACAAGCAATAAGAAATTAAAGACACTTCATCTAAAGGAGTGCAGCACCACCCACTTAGTATCTATTTATAATTTACAACTGGGGAAAACATTTCTGGCATAAAGCTCAAATATAGTTTGTCCAACACTGAAATACTGGTGAAATAATAGTAAAGTTACACTTCAGATGCTGTTTGGGAAAAACTGGCATGAATCAACAACAGCAATGCCCAAATTTCCCTGGTAACTATTCCCAAGAAATTTTCCATTAAGCTCTTCAGCAGTATTTCACATATTCATACTCTTGCATGTAACAACTGCAACGAACAAAACTCAATTAACAGATGCGTCCTACAGCATACATACATATTCACATTCTCCATACAGCTATGAAATATTTTTCAGTATTTAGTCATAATTTTCAGTTCTCAAGTCTGAAACATGCCAACAGAAAGATTTTATGTTTATACTTCAAAAGTATGTGTAATGACACATTAATCAAAACCGAACATATCTAATGCAGAACTCAAAATTATTGCTGATGCAAACATACAGTAAAGTTAAATCATTACAAAATTCTTTGAAATCCTAAAATTTTTAACAGGTTCTTTCTAAAATGGAGTAGTCCTTTAAAAAATTTACCATTTGTCTCTGTGTTGGTAAAGGTCTCCTCCTGTTGTTCAGTCTCCATTGCCTTTTCTTCTTATGTGGACAAGCAAAACCTGTTGAAAAACAAGGAAGGTACATTTTTTTTTGCCAAAAGACAAACTGTACCTCATGCTAAAGTGACAAAGGTAACAAAAATATATGCCTGCTGCTAGAACTTACCGCTATTATATATCCTTGCTGACCAAAACTCAAGTATTCTGGGCGGGATCAAAATCCAACAGCCTATTGCTTCAAGAGCCTATGAAAACAGCATATATCAGTTGTGAGTCTCCCCACATTTTAAGACTGCTTCTCGCTACAGCTGGAAAACAATGTTTGACCTAAGCAACTGCTGCAAATTTTCTCTTTATAAAAGAAAAACCATAAGCAAGACAAACACATCACTAGGAGAAGATAAAGGCCAAATTTATAGACTTACATAAATCCAATGTCTGAATTACAGGTTTTGGATATACTCTAGTTCTAAGTAACCACATAATCTCATGATATGTGCCTTGGTTTCACTTTCTAAAGGGCACTATACCAGAATCTGGTCTCGCTATCTAGGTCAACACTACTTACACTTAATAAATAGTCCTGTTAAGGTAATTGTCAACACTTGTACTACAAACTCTCTACCCATGTACTAACACACATTTCAGCATGCATTCCTCTCAACTATAATTGATGAAGAAAATAAAAAATTTGAATAAAATAAAAGTAACAACTTCAAATTACACTAAAATAACCTTTTAAAAAATATCACCCTCTGTAGTTACACACAACCCACTGCATGTATACACCCCCAAAAGCAACTGTACTTCAGTATAATTTTCTGAAATAAGTTGTGACTTGCTTTTAGCTACTAAGTCACATTAGGGAGAATTGTAGATAAAATAAACAAATTTTCAACTTAGTACCATTAAAAATGCGATTTACAAATTCAACCAAATAATCACGTATTTCCCCTTGCATTGCATTAACTTCCACTGCCTCAACGAACAGCAGGCACTCATTCCTGTAGCCATAATCGGGGGAAGGGGAATGGGGTGGTAAAGAAGCTGATTCAAACTCATTAAACGTACTCTCAGACAGCTATGTAATTGCTGCCCTGCTTGGAGGACTAATAACGGGCTCTGCCTTCCCAACACATGCCGGTATTTCCAGGCACTTGAAGTGGGCTAACGGGCATGCACAAATTTAGTAATAGCGTGATCTCAGGTAGGCATTGCCAAAACTGCGCTGTTACGCGGATGGGCAGTAAGGAAGACACCGACAAAGTGTAATAGCCCTTTCAGATACCGATTAATCTATTTCCTACTATCCCAAGAATTTTCAGGCAGCGAGGAGCGAACTCTTATCAGTTACAATTCAGGGCTTAGTCTCCCCTAGCCAAAGCTCCCCATTAGCCACGTGTTCAGTAACCTCGCTCAGCTAGGTAAATCGAGGACATTGACACTACTCATGAAGCCAGGTTCCTTATGAACACCGAAGGGTCACAGCGGACAAGAGAGGTGGGACCAGCGACCACAGCTAAGGAACGCCAGAGCGCCTCCAGGGCACAGCAGCACTTCTCGCCTGCCTCTCTCTTCCCCCCTCCCTCCTTGCGTCTCAGACGTCCGCCCAGCGCGGCGGGGACAGGGGCGAAAGCGGTGGCGCTGCGGAACCCCTGCGGAGCAAAAGAAATGGCGCCCTCTGAAATGGCGCCCGCCCGCCCGCTGCGAGGCGGAGCCGGGAGCGGAAGGGCCGCCACCACCACGCGGCCGTGGGAAGCGTTACCCGGCTCTGCCCGGGCGGACACAAAGGAGGTGCCCGGCGGCTCGAAGCCCAGTGCAGCGGGCGGAGCAGGTCAGCCCTAGAGCCACGGGCAATCCGCCCGCCCCCGAAAGCCGCGCGGCCGCGATACAGAGTG